TATGTCAACAGAAATCAGAAGAAGGCAATACAGTAGCAAAAAGCACATGGAATTATTCAGGCAACTTCAGTTCTGGGGCCAGAGATGCTTATGTGGAAATGTACAGGGAGAGTAAAGAATCCACCCCTGAGGGCTGGGCAGCCAGAGGGTTGTGCAATGGTGAGACAGGGAGCATCATTCATTCAATGACTTCTGCATGGTAGGCTGTGCTTAGCTCAGAAGCTGCTCTATTCCTTCCAACAGCCGTGATAGCCCTTAAATCCTTTCATTCACCCTTGCTGGTAGGGCTGGCTTCATGATGTAGGATATGAAATTGCACATCTCATGATGAGGAGGGATCAGCTGTTGGCTTAATTGTGCTGCTATTATCTTTAAAATCTTAATAACTTTTGACCAAGGGGCACAGTTTTTGCATTCTGCAAATGAGGTAACTGGTCTCCCTTGAAGAATTGAACAAGACTGTATGGAGCTGAGCGGACAGAGAAAGCAAACAGTTCCCCCGGGAATGCTGTGTGACAGAAGAAGGTGCTGGCCCACTGCAGAGTGCGCTCCACTCCTCAGGTGTCTTCACGCCCGAGAGTGGTCACTGGGAAGGGATAACCAGGATTACAGAGAGGCAGTTGGGAAGGAACCAGCAGAACCTTCAACCATGAGCCAGGACAGATAAATAAAATGCCAGTTTCTGGAATTTAATTACTTTAATTCATGATAATCTGTGATGTACACAGACAAGACACAGAAGAAAAAAGGAAACAGACAAGGAAAGAGCTAGAAAGGTGAAAAAAGATTTAGACAGACTTTCTTTTTGAGTATACAGCCATTGCATTATTTTCTAACAAGAAAAATATATGTCATGTTAGATAATTGTATAATATAATTGCATACTATAATGCAATTGTTTAACAATACACACACACACACATATATACATACATAGAACATATGTTACAAATATTTAGTCATATAATTGTATAATAGTATACTAACTCTATGGTGGGTCATTTACATGTATTTTTCCACGTATATACTACTTTTTTCTCCCTGCCTGCTCTTTCTCTCTCTCTCTCTGAATTAAAGTAAACCAGCTTTGCAGTAAAGTAAAATAAACCAACTCTCCTCAGCTCTGTTTCCCTCTCTCTCTTCCTTTCTTTCTCTCCCTCCCTCTCTCATTTCACAAAACATATTTGGTTGTCCTGTCGCTCTACAAGATCATTATATGCGATAGGTCATCTTGTTATTTAAAAATTTTAATTTTTTCTGTACCAGGAATTGAACTCAGGACCTTGAACTTGCCAGGCAGGTGTGGTGCCCTGGGGCTACATCCCTGGCCCCCCTGTTGTTTTAAGCTTGACTTTTCTGGACCTTGGTTTAGTCATCTATAAGAAAGACAAAGCCAGTTTATTTGCATGGTAGTTTTTCCTCCCCTTTGGAGGAAGTGAATAAAGTAATAAGCTAGTAATACAGTTCAGTTCTAATCAGATGCAGGCATTGCTATGAATAATAACGTTACTACAGGGGACCAGAGAATTGTCCTCTGAGACTCACTCCTGTGGCGCTGGTTGTTGCAGAATGTGAACGTTGCTCTGGGTCCCTGCCCCCTCAGGAATCAGTGAGCCCCCTCTTTGAATTTATGGACACAGACAGTGGTTCCTGCAGTGCTTCCTGCTGTAGGTTTCTGTTTTGCCTTTGCTGTCCTGTGGTCTTTCTTTACTAGACGATGCCACCTAACCCCTGCATGGACGCGGTTGTTCAGTTTCTATAGCCATATATATGTTATGCTCTGTGAATACTCTCTGTATGGTACATTTGCACTTTTATAATCTTTTTGTTCACTTTTAATAACCTCTCTGCAGTTTTATCCTGAATTATACCTTTGGAAATATGTTCCTACTGTGCTGTAAGAGTATTTCTCGGCCCATTATAAAGAAATCTTATGCTTTACTTTCATTTTGCTTGTGAATTTGGACCATTTTGAACTTGAATGGGATATTTTTCTCTAAAGCACAATAAAACGTTTGTGAATTTTTCCTATATGGAGGAACAAATAGAATATGAATCTCACGAGTCTGTTCTCTTATGAATTGCAGTACTACTGAACAGTGCAGTTTTTATATGATTTGACTCTTTATAAAATTTTATTTGCATATATTTCAAGAAGTGGTTTGTAGGAACTGCATGGATTACACAAGGGGGAGAAGTATATCTGTTTCTCTTTCCTTGAAAAAAATAATAACAAAACATCTCTTTTCCCATCTTTCCATACACAACAGCACACATGAATATGCACACACATCTCAGATACAAACATAAATAATATTACACTTATATACGTTTGCATCTTGTATACATGCATGCAAGTTCTGAACTTCCTTAGCATTCACCATGGTACACATGCAGGAAAAACACAAAGCTAATGATTAGCTATGATAGGCTACTACATTTTATCTTTAAAGAATTGCCACATTATAATATTTTAGTAACACTCACACTTGTAACATTAGGCTAATGGTGATGTCCCACACAGCTATTTAATTCTTAATCTCAGTGCTTGTTTTATCTCCCACTACCATTCTCGTGGGAACCAGTCCTAATGTCAAAATCAATAATCATCTATGCAATGTTTACCAAAAATGAGGAAATATGTGAATGCCAAGGAAAAAGATCTTTCCCTGAAAACTTTCATAATTTTGTGTAAGGAAAGGAAAGGGTTCATAATGCAAAATATGCAATCAATCGTTTTATGTTACATGGACCAAGGGAATGGCTGGAAAACAAGCTCTGTGTATATTTGCAAAATGAAGTTTGCAACCCTTGCTGAAACTTCTTGGAGAAAAAGAAACACTTCCTACCGATGGGGTAGAATATTTTGAGCGAAACTGAAAGCCCAAATATTCAAACGCAAGTTCAAATCTTGTTGGGGAGAGTTTTTACACATAGGCCATGGCATTTAAGCTTTATATCTGAGGAATGGGAGGAAGGCACTATGGGTTTTGAACAGGGTAGAAAACTGCAAAGGACACCTCGGATACAATATTCTATGAGACCCTTAGGAAATTGCTACCGAAGGTGACCATGAAGGTGAAATGCACACAATTCACTAAGAATTGGTAGAACCCAGATAATGAGGCAACGAAGAAGGAATATGAAGATTTAGGAAATATCTCCAAAGGTTCTGATATGAAGGAGCATACTATTCGTTAGGAATAGAATGGTATTTGCAGGTGGCCAAATCTACCCAAATAGTTATGCAGGTATTGTATGTAGGGGAGATAATGTGATCTCGGTAATTTTCGTATGCCAAGTTGCATTCCCCTAAAGGGAAGGTTGAAAACTCACATGCAGATACTTGTGCATATGGGATAATTCGGCAACACGGCCTTCTCGTTTAGAATCAGTTAAGGCGAGGTCATTTGAACGGGTCCGAATCTGGGATGACCGATGTTCTGATACAATTTGGACAAAGAAACATACAGAGAGGAGGCCCAAGGAAAAAGAATGAAGAAAATTCTCCGGAGATTTTAAAGGCATCATAAATAAAGTATTTCCGAATTGTAAAAGAGAACTTCACAGACAAATGCATGGAGTGCATGTTGTATTTAAAGTATATGTATTATTACCATTTTTTTCTATGAATGCTTCTTAAGCAGTGATGATTTTAGGTTCGTTATCTGCCCTTTGAGGCTAAGTTTAGTTTCAAGAAGCATTTGTTGAAAGTTCTCCATTTACAGTGTGCCGTAGACCAGGTGGAATCTCTTGTCTGCCCGCCCTGTTCCTACATTCCGCCGGCTTCCCTCGGTCCTTCCCCCACCTGCTCCGGGGAAATCAGACTCTGGGGTCTTGTGGAGCCTCTCGGGGTATCAGGCTGTGCTCTCTTAGTCTGTGGGAGGCTTGGCCTCCGTCTTGGGTCAATGGCAGGAAACACGGACAAGGGAGTCGCACTGAGGCCTTCCGGGGGCGAGGAACCATTTTAAGAAGTGACGCAGAGGAGGAAGGAACATGAGGAGCACAGCGCTAACAGGGGTGGCTTTGGTTCACTTTGAAGGATGCGGCAAATCCTGGATAAACTCAGCCCACAGAGACAGTAAGGAGCAGGGTCAGGATGCTAGAGATGCTTCAAGTGGAATTGGCATGTGTGTTAGGTGGGAGAAATAGGAGCTAGAAATCCAATAAAACATCATTTATTTTCTTGCACAAGTCGTTTCTGCCGTGGCCTGGGAGCTCTCAGTTGGCTCCTGTGTTGTTTTTTACAGATCCCCATCATTGTATGTGACGGGATTAGAGATTTGCTATTTTCTGGTAGTATAAGATATCCTATACTCCCATATTTCCCAATCCAGTCCTAGAATCAGCTGTTTTTCCAAGAAGACTTGTTGTTGCTTTTTTTAAAAACTGACAGTATTATCATATTAGAAATCAAAATCTGGGTGCGAATTGTACTCATTGCTACTGGGGTATCATTGCTTTCTGGCTCTGTGTCTAAAAATAACAGCACAGGGCCAGGGATTTAGCTCAGTGCTGCTGCTGCCTTCTTTGCAAGCACAGGGTCTTGAGTTTATCCCTGGTACAGGGACAAGGGGAAAAAATGAGAACCAAGACCTGTCGTGTAGAGGTACAAGATCCCAACAATGAATGTAACTGTACTGTATCCCTAAAATGTACCAATAAACTCAATTAAAGCTGAAACAAAATTAATGAAAAAAACCCAAAACTAAAAAACAAAGAAACAAACAAGCATAAAAGACACGAGCATATTCTGAATTAGGAACGTTCATGTGCATGCATATGTATATTTATACATGCATATATTTCTATATGTAAATATGTATATTCCAACCTCTAACTGCATGTGCACATACTGTTCTAAGCATGAGCTCTACTGATGTTCCAACCCTAACCTGAGACCACACAGGTCACTGTAGCCTCCCTTCCCTGCTTATCTGCGGCTTCCCACTACCACAGTGAGAAACCTCACTTGCACCCCTTGCTTTCTGTTTGCTTGTGGAATATCCAGCACACGTGTATAGCTGCCTTAGAATTCTTAGTCTGGGTCACCATGGGAAATAGAATTCTTAGTCTGCGTCACCATGGGAAATAACCGTATCAGCAAGGACACAGTGCTCTCATGTAATTTCCTTTCGCTTTTTTGGGTGGTGGGGGTACTTACTACTGAATCCATGGCCTTTGTGCTGAGTTACGTTTCCTGTCTTTCTGACTTTATTTTGAGACATGGTCTTACCAGGTTGCCTAGGCTGGGCTGCAATTTATGGTCTTTCTGCCTCAATTTTCAAAGTGCTGGGATTGTAGCTTGTGAGGGCCTAGCCAGCCCCTTCTGACTTAGGCTCACAGACTCTGCATTCTCCTGTTACTTAGGTAGAGCCCTTTCTGTCCACCCATGTTAGTGAAATTCTTTCATACACTTATTAAACTAGACTCTCTTGTCACAGTCCACATTCTTTACTGGGCTCCTCCAACCCCCTAACTGGGCTTTAAAACTATTTTCACACATTAAGGCTAACTCTTCACGCTTTAATGTCTTATGGATTTTGAGAAATGCAAAATCTCACACACCACCATTCCAGTATTAGGCAGAAGAGTTCAGTCACCCTAAACTTCTCCCGAACTCCCCCACCCCTCCTGATGACCACTGACAATTCCCCCTTCCTATAGTTTTGACATCTTGATTGCTTCCAACTTCTGAAGTTGTAAAAGGACAGTTTCTAAATGGTATTTTGTGTGTGGCTATAAGGTTATAAATCAGTTAGGTAAACACTTAGTAGAATGCTGAAACATGTAGCCAAACTATTTGTGCAGCACCATGAGAAACTGAGGACTGAGGCCTTGCCAGCCTGCATGTCAACCTCCAGTGAATACGGGTTCTTGTTCCTTCATATTCATGAAAGCATTCACGTTGTCCTACTTTGAAACAATGTTGTAATCTTTCTATGGTGCGTACAATCATACTAAGATAATAGGAATGGGCCGGGGATTTAGCTCAGCAGTTCGGTGGCCTGCCTTGCAAGCACAAGGACCTGAGTTCAAAAAAAAAAAAAAAAAAAAAAAAAAAAAAAAGATAATAGGATAAATCCAAACAGAATACATATTTGTAAATTCTGCCATACTAGTTAATTGGATGCAGGTTTATTTTCCAAGGTGAAAATCAGCACTGATATATTTAATTTTATAGCACTTCAAATTATATCCAAAATATGGTGAAGCATACTTATGTGGAGGAGCAGAATATAAATAATTGAAAAGAGGTAAATCTAAAGATAAGTTGTGTTTGGGTTCGGGTGTACTTTATGATTTGTTTTGTGATGGCAAATTTAGTACCATAATTATGGTAGCTTTTTAAAGCCATCATAATGATTATATATGTATTTGAGTTTTAAAACTACCATAAAAAATATATATGTATATTATGCAAATATGGCAACACACACACACATATGTATTGCCAAATCAGCTGATTGGAAGGAGAACAATTCTTGTTTGTGTTTTTAATCTTCTCTAACTTGTTTGCATTATTTCTCAAATTTAATTTACTACTTTTACCTTTAATTTCATAATTTGGCATTGTGTATCTTTAAGCTCAGTCAAAATTAAAATAGTTCTTACATTCTTTCTCTAAATTAACTAATAGGAGGATGTAGGGAGATTGCTGATGTTTGAAGTTTCAGGAACTTCCTTTGATTAAATTTACAAATACTGTAAAAGGCAAGGAGCAAGAATTGGCTGCATGGGATTTCATATGGAAATATACTTATAAAAGGCTGAAACAGAACTACGTGCAACATAAATTAAATGTTCATTGTGCAAACATATTGTTGACTTTTAAAAGCTATTCCTGATTATGATGGAGACAATTGTATGGAATATTATTTCAGTCCTGTGTGTCAGTTGGTCTTGATTATTAAATTAGGGTTAATCTATTGATAAGTTCATAGCTCAGTGGGCTACTGAGAGGGAGGCTGAGTTGGAAGAGGTGGGACATGGGTGGATGAACCTGAGCACCATGACTGGCCCCTAACCTCTTCATACTGGGATCTTCTCTGCTTCTGATTTCTCAGTGTCATAAGTTGAGCTGCTTTCCTCTGGCATGTTCTTTTGTCCCGATGTTCCTGTCATGGAACAAGCTGCCCATGGACTGCACCTCCTGAAACTGTGAGCCACAGTATCCTTTTTCTCCCTTCAGTCTCAGGAGTTAGGTATTTTATCTGAGTGACAGAAATCTGACCAATGCATCCCATGGGATGACAGAAATATTTTGATTTTTATTCACTATAATCATGACTATGTCGTTAAAATTTAAGATGGCGTATTTTTATAAAGTTATTCATGATGTACACATTTTCATTTAAATGCAACGCAAATTTCAGAGAGAACAGGAAATACCATCAATATCATTGTATTTTATTTAGCTCTATTATTTGAAAAAGACAACTAGAAAATAAAGTTAGAAGATTCCCACATGATCCAGTAGGAGTTATAATTGATTTTAACTAATTTTATGTTGTTATCTATGGTGCTTTTCTTCAGCTCACTTGACTCTCCACTGACTTCAGCTCATTCCCCTCTCTCTATCTCGTTACATTACTGATATTTCTGGGGGAGGTGTAATTTAAATAATGGCAGTTTCTTAATGATGTGTGAATCATTTGCTACTATTGCTCTAACCACTAACTGGTGTTTTATAGCATCCAGAAGTGATGTAAATATTATCAAATAGCAGCTTAAAAATAAACGCCATACATAGTGCAATAAAGACAGTGGAAATCAGCAACTTGGGCTGGAACTGACAAGGAAATGCTGACTTCTTATTTAAGGTGAGCTAAACGATCCTGGGAAGTCCTAAACGAGGCTCTTGGCAGTGTGGTCTACTTTACCAGGACAGTTACCTTCCTCATAGTCCCAAAGCAGGTACTGTAAACAGTCAGTGACTATAAAGATCAGAAGTTTGAATCCAGCTGGGGCAACAATGACTCAGCAAGACCCTGTCTCAAAATGAAAACAATCAAAGGGCTGGACACAGAGCTCAGAGTGAAGGCCCTGGATTTAAGCCCCAGTAATGAAAAAAAAAAATAGTGCAAGTTTAAAGTTAACATCAATAGTTCTAACAATGACCTCCCAAGACTATATAACAAATGAAACTTCTATTCCTCATTTAAAGTTTGCTCCTGATTGCCTGCTTTCTATAGGATTTCAGAAGTAATAAACACCACTAGGTATCTGATGCTTATTGTGCGGGGAAGAAATGTGAGCCATCGATGTGCTAAACACCCTTGCATGACTAAAGAGTAAAACACAGTCATCCTCAAACATCTCTACAGTTTTCCAGAAACCAAACTTGTCCTATAATCTGAGAATGGGTTTAGGCATCTAATGTGAAAATGGAACCACACAGGCATTAGAAGAATATATGAGTAAATTACTCTTTAACATAGTTGAAGGGAAAAGCTTTCTGTGATTCAGAGTTCCAGAAGTAGAGATAAAAAAGAGTAATTACTTGGCTAAACAAAACTCAATTTTCCCTTATAACAAAAGACTTCATAAACAAAGATAAAAGTCAGTGGAAAAGCAGGAAGGAAATATTTACAAGATATGTGGCAGGCAAGAGGATAATATTAGTAGTACAAAATATTCCTGAAAGTTGGGGATGCTCTTCTTACTCATTTTCCCAAGGGTAACTGTAAGGGAATCGATCACGTTAAAGTATTCTGTGATGCCGCCAGAACAGGCTGCATTCTCCTAGTACTTCTTGGCTCCTAAAATGACCTCACGCCCTTATCTTTAGTTTCCCTCCCACCAAGGCCACAGTGAGACAGAGAAGTTGAAACCTGCTTCTGCAGGGCTGGGCCCATAAAAAGCAACCTGGCCTGTGATAGGTTAAAAGTAGCCCACTCCTCATGAATAAGCAATAGCCCAGCCCAAAACCAATAAAAAGACCTTCCTTTCTTTGTTCTCTTCTTCTCTTCCTCTCTGCTTCTTCCTCTTCTCTCTCTCTGCTCTCTCTTTCTGCTCTCTCTCTCTCTCCTCCCACCCCTTGAATCAAATCTCCAGTCGGACCTCTCGGCGTGTGTGTGGCCTAGTTGTTGAGCGTCACTATTCCCTTTCAGTAACACTGCCAATAATTGTAAAATATCACAACTACACCATTGATATTAATGTATTTTAATGATTTTATTCTGTTTTGTTCAGGTTCACTTTCACTTGTGTCATTACTTTTAAACTTGCATCACTACACAAAAATTAAGTTTCTGAATCTGTGTCTTCCAAATAATGGGGAATTGTGAGACCAACACAGCTCGGCTCTCGTAAACATGAAATCAGCTAATCATGTACCACGATAATCAGTGTGTGGCACACAGCAATTGCTCATTTATCCCCTCTTCCCTATCTTCACAGGGACCCTGTTCTCTTTTATATGTCTCCCCACCTTATCCCTGTGTCGATTTTCCCTTCTACTTTTCATTTAGACAAACTCTGTCCTACTCTGTCTGCCTGAAAAAACCCAATGAAGCCAATGCATTTGCTTCTTGCTCTTTTTCAGTGGCTCCTAATATGTCCTGATGTTTCATTCTCAGGTAGTGCCACATACCTGTAACCACAGCATTCTTGAAGGATGAGACAGGAGCATTGCTAACTGGAGCCTAATCTGGGAAACCTTGTGATTTAGTGAGATCTTGTCTTAAAATATAAATGAAATATGGACTGAGATGTAGCTCAGTACCAAGGCACTGGGTTCAATCCCCAGTACTTTCCCTCAAAACAGGTTTATTTGAGAAAAGGGAGGGAAAATGAAAAGAATTAAGGTGTGTTATGTACATGAACCAACTCCCCACAATGGATATAATCACTGTGTACTGCAAACATGGACTTATAAAAATAAAAATATTTAAAAAGGAAAAAATAATTGAGGGAGACTTTTCCCATTTAATTGATCAATGCATGGCAGAGATCCTGGGCCTTTATTCTGCTGAGTTCTTGGCAAGGAAAGATATTTTTCTTTCATCTTTTTTTTTTTGAACATCTATAGAACTTTTAGGTGAAATACCTTATTAAATGGAAGTTAGATCATATGACATGATACTATTCAAATGTTAATTTATTTCTACAAAGGCTAAACAAAGTAAGCTTTAAAGTCTTGCCTGGGAATCAGTTATTATATTTATTCTAACAACAAATGTTAATTTAGTACTTGTTGAATGTTCATTATTTAAGTGGACACTTAATTGGGAACTCTGCAGATATTGTTGCACAGATACAACTTATAGCTATATAGACACTTTTTATTGGTATTTGTTGTTATACACCTACACAGTAAATTGAATGACTCAAAATTGCTCCTTAGAAGGATGGCAAGAACACAACTTGCAATAGCCATAAATAAAGTAGAAAACTTCATTTTCCTGAAGCCTTTATCTTAGCTTTATATTTGGAATAGTGTTTTGGAGTTTAAGCAACTGCTTGCATTGTCAGAATACAACCTCACAGTAACCTTTAGAATATTCTTGCATTAAAGAAAATGTAATTGACAGGTTTGTGTAGTAAAGGAAAAATAATCACATGTGAAACCTAATGGAAGATGAGAGAAATTCAAAGCCCCTTCTTTGAGAGGGAATAGAAAGATATTAGAATATGTAAACATTGCAAGATCCTGAGCCCTAAGCAAGTGAAAGCCTTCAAAAATAGCGCAAGACCAAAGTCCAAAGCCAGTTTTCCAGTATTCAAATTGAATTCTTATGTAATGTGCTGCTTGTGGAAAGATACTGGGCAATTCAGAAAGGATACTGAACATGACATTTATGTAAAAAGAAAAAAAACCCACTGTACTCACAAATGAGTCTGTTATGGCTTAGATCTAGAATGTCCTCCCAAAGTCTCATGTTTCAAAGGTGGGACTCTTGAAGGTAATTTGATCATTGGAAGTGCTATCTTCTTGGTGGGTTGATCCACTAATGAGTTCAGAGCTAAATGTTTCATGGGGACGTGGGGCCTGGTTGGAAGAGGTAGGTCTCTGCCTTTTGAGGATTGTCTCCCTCTCTAGCTCTTTCCCTTCATGTCTGTTTTGTTTCATAGGGTGAGCAGCTTTTCTCCTCTTCCCTTCCACTGTGCCATTTCTGTCTTGGAGTCAGGCAACAATGGACTGAATCCTGAAAATTATGAGCCAAATTAAACCTCACCTCCTTTAAGCTTTATTGGGTGTTTTTTTTTTCCCCAGAAGTGAGAAATCCGTTTCTGGAAATTGGTATCAGAGAAGTGAGTTCATTGCTATGGCTGCTCCTATGTGTTTCAGATGCCTTTGGGAATGATTTTTAGAGGACTTTGGAGATGTGGGTTAGAGAATCCCTAGAATGTTATGAGCAGTGATTGATATGTGATATTTGTGGGAGCTCAGAAGGCCAGAATGCCAAAAGAAATGTGGACAGTTTCAGGAGAATGAGAACTCTGTCAGAAATTTGAATAGAGCTCATGCCTATTTCATATTGGAGACCCATTTGTCTAATTTTTTCCTATGTCCAAAGACTAAATTTAAAGATGATGGGCTTTATAATCTGGTAGAGGCAAATTCAAGGCAGCCCAGCGTTCAGGCTGTGGCATGAGTACTGCTGGCTGCTTTTGACAAGATTTATAATGAGAATCAGGTAAAAATAGAGTGAAAAAAACTGGAAAATATAAATTTTGGCTTAGAAGGAATCATGTGTTAAACCGGGGCTCAACAGGGGTGTGATTGCTAAAGAGATCAATGTCATTAAAAGGGAACAAAGGGTCAGGGATTTAGCTCAGTGGTGCTGCCACCCGCCTCATAAGCACAAGGACCAGAGTTCTTTCCCTGGTATATTAAAAAAAAAAAAAAGAAGGGAATCAAGTACTTTGTATAGGAACATAAAGAAAGATATCTTTAGATGTCTAAAATCAGTGAGACCCCACATATGCCAGGCTGAAAGCTGCAAACTGTAAAGTTTTCATTTGAGAAGAGAGTGCCTGAGACCCTCACTCAAGAAAGAACTCTTATGGAACTGGTTCCTAGGGCATCCTGGCTCTTACAAGTCACTACTGCTCATGGTGACAGCCAACCTTGGCATTGTTCAGATGATGCTGGCTTTATTGGCATGTGGACCACATGAGTTGTGAAGCCAGGGAGGCCTCTGCCCAGATTTCAAAGGAAGGCTTGGGAGGTCCTTTGAGAAGGCCATGTGTGAGAGTAATAGGCCCTGCATGAAGCTGTGAGAGTGAAGCTGAAGATGAGTAGGGCCCCAGGGAGTTGGAGATGCAGGAAGCTGCAATGTTTACAAGGAAAGCTGGAAGCATGAGCAGAGCCAGCCTGAGAGAGAGGCCGTGTTTTCTGTAACCAGCATGAGAAAAGCCTGGCACTGAGTACTTTGCAGTTCACATCAGGCCACAACTTACCCTGAGTGTTGGACACAGAACTGCAGGATTTAATGTATGCCCTACTGGTTTTCAGGCTGGCTTTGGTTCAATTTATTATATCTCTCTATTCTTCTTTGGAATGAAAATGTTTCCCTGGTATTTTGGAAGTATGCAGTTTTCTTTTTGGTTTTTACATTTTATTTTGTTACAGGTAAGAGTATACCTTGAGCCTGAGAGGAAACTTTGGACTTAACTTTTCAGCACTCCTAAACGGTTAGTACTTCTGGTGACTCAGAACAGGACTGAATGTATTTTACACATTGAGAAGGATCAGAGCCCTTTGGACCCCGGGAGGACTGTTTATATCTAGAATGTCCCTCAAAAGTCTCTTGTGTTCAGAGGCGGGCTTTTAGAAGGTGACTGTGTCATGTGGGGCCACTCCTCAGGGGGCTGACGCACTGATGAGCTCATGGATAAACGTGCTATTAGAAGGGTGGCCTGGTTCAAAGCCATGTGTCATCGAGATCACAGTTTAGAAGGAGGAATCTCTGTCCCTAGATCCTCCCTTTGCCCCCTGCTTCCTGGTTTTTTCCTTTGTGCCTTGCTGCTCTGTCTTTTCTACTATGAAGCCAACCACCCATGGATCAAATGTTCTGAAAACTATGAGCCAAATTTAATCTCTCCTCCTGTAAATCTTGGGTGTTGTATATTTTGTCCCAGTGACTTGAAAGCTGACTGATATAGGACTTTAGTCATAAAGGAAAAGAGGAAGGCACAGGACGAAATTCCCTAGTAGACAGTAGGCTAATTGAGCAGATTTTGTGAGAATGATACCTAAAAATGTCATTGCAGTTCAAAAAAAGACCTTTGATCTTCAAATAATGAAATAATGATTCAAAGAGAGCAGCTCCATCTGAGAAATTAGGGCAGACTGACTACACAGAAGAAAAAAGAAAGCTAAGGCCAATAAGCATGAAATGTTCACGAGAGCACTTAAACCTGGAGAAACTCACCCAACGAACTGTGCTTAAGTCACTCATGCATTTACAGCTTGAGCCTTCTGTATAAGGCATGATCAAGATACCTGGTAAATATTTAAATAAAAATATCAGTGAATGACACATGGCCACTAGTCCTCCTCTAAATATCCCCCATGCATCAAACATGCTTCTCATTGTTTTTACCACTCTCTGAAGCACTCCTGGAAGTCCAGTTTTGCGAGTGTCTTTATGGGGTGTGAGGAAAAGCATAGCGAGAGCTGCTGCAGAATGCCGTCCATCAGAAAGGCGGGCTCCCGGAACCGTGGCTGTGTGTTCTCATCCACCTGCTTACCAGGCCTGGCACCGTGCCACCTCTGGCTTCCCCAGTCAAATGACTCTGGACATTGAGGCAGCTGCGACACTGCAACTCAAGACACTCACGAGAGGAGACTTTCAGAACTGCTTCAGAAAGTGGCAAGAACGGTGGGCTAAGTGGGTTCGAACAAGGGGAGTACTGGAAGGGGAGTTAATGACAATATGTCTTTCGGTGTAAAAAAATTGAAAATATTCAAACATTTGCCACATATTTTGATCACACCACATACTCAATAAACTATGCTAAACACCACGTGAGGTGCACCACACTCTGTCTTTGTAGCAGTGTTGTGGTTGTTATATAAATAAAAGTCATCTCACCCTTTACTCTAGAAGATTTTTACATGCACACAGACACACACTCCTTTACACTATAGCTGAAAGTAGCAGAGCTCCTTGCAGTTGCACTGCAGTGGGTTGAATTAGGACAAAGCGAAGGAGGGATGTATAAAGGCGAGAGCATACAGAGCAATCTCTAGTAAGAGAACTCACTTTGCTTTCCCTCTGGGTGGAGGCACTGAATGATGCATGTGAAATATATGATAGCATGAATATAATCATTTATAAATAGCTATTTTAAAAATACCCTTGCGAGCAAATATTTATGGACTGAATTAATTGGCAACTTCCACATGAGAGACGGGCTGAGGTACTACCCACCCCGCCATGCTCCAGTTATCTCAGTGGTGTCTTTTGGTCAGAAAAATTATTCATCAGAATCTGAAAGCCAAGTAAGGCCTAGGTATTTGAAGCCTCCCCAAACAGCAGCCTGCTAAGTGGGAATTATATAAACTGGAGCAAAAGCATCTGCTCTTCCTGGCCTTGGTGAGAGCTTGTTGGATTCCACGGTTCAGTGACTCAGAGCTGAACAGTCTGAAACTTTATCACAAAGAGTTTTATTCTGCTTTAAACCTGCAGATGAAAAGTAATTTAGTTCATGTGTTGCAGTGATGCAGATCGAAACCCATAGCATTTTTGTTAATTGTGGAGAGCAGACTGGTTTCAGATGCACAATACCAGTGAAGTACCATAGAAATATAAAATCTTAAGACTGGGATTGGAAAGATGTCCAGTGTTTTGGAAGTAAAGTGTCTACTTACACCAGATTTTATAAATGTAATTCTGCCAATGAAAAGATCAGCACAAGGAGTTCAAATTAAAAACCATTCTTTGGTATAAACTAAAGCTTCCCAATTCAAACCTTAACATGAAGTACCTGTTAACGTATTTTTCACTCAGAGTGAAAGAGGATTTTATTCCTATTCAGCTGATTTTCCTACCTTCCCTCATCTCATTTTGGACTCGGTTCCATTTTGGTCACTAAGGTCTCCTCTCAAAATAAGCACACTGCCTCCCGAGGAGGTGAGGTGTGAGGTGTACTGTCTGTTCTGTTTGTGAAAAATAATATACAGTGAACAGTGATCGGGCTGAATGAAGGACTCGGATAATCATAAAGGATCAGACAGATCCACCCTGACTTATACAGCTCAGAGGAAGGAAAAGAGATGAAAATAAAAATCTCTTTCAGGGCAACAGCGAGTCTCATCATATAGGTGAAACTCTGCTTCCCAAAGGCACAGAACAAGAGCACGTATGGCTTCCCATCAGCGACAGTGACGACCCGAATGCCATTCGCCCCGTCATGCAAACTCCGTGGTGTGGCTCAAGGACTTTGTTGTGTATTTGCCATCCGTAATTTACACATCCACCTAAAATGTTTCCCTGCCAGCCCTCAGTTCTTCCTGGTGCCTGTCGTATTGGCCAACTAGCTTCTTTCTTCCTCTGACGGTTTGCAGGTAACGTGATCTAGTGAGCCAGGTTGCAGATTGGACGTTCTCGAAAGAATCATCTGTGGAACCTGAGCAAAAGAAGCTCAGGCCCAACCACCTCAGACTGGATTCAGGCACCCAGATATTTGTATTACGTTTATGAGTGATACACATATATATCCGGAAACCACACTTTAAAAGACCGTCAAAATAGTCACTAAAATGCACTGCGGCTTCACTTTTATCAGGATGACAACTTCATTCATACATTAAAAACCAGAAAATAACAAGGGCTGGCAAGCACATGGAAAGATCTGGAACAACGGGCACTGTTGGTGAGAATGGAAAATGGTGCACATAATCAGGGAAATCACACACACACACGCACACACACACACACATGCACACACACACACACACACGGAGTTCGCCTTCTGAGTCTGTGCCCAGAAGAATTGAAAGCAGGGTTTTAAAGAGATTTGTAAAACCGTGTTCATAGCAGCAGTGATCACCACAGTGGAAGGTGAAAGCCACTCATGCCTGATGATAAATAAGTAGATAAAGAAACTGTGGTCCATTCACATGACAGAGCATCATTTAGCCTTAAAAAGGAGGTAAATCCTGACATGCTACAGCTTAGGCGAATCTTGCAAATATTATGCTAAGAAAATAACCAATCGCCAAGAAACAGACACTATAATTTCCCATGTTTCTGAGGTTACCAGAGCAGTCAAATTCACACAGAAGGAAATGTGGTAGTTTTCAGTGTGGAGAGTAGATGAGGGGCTACAGAGCTGTCATTTAATGGATTCAGAGTTTCAATTTTACAGATGCAAAGAGTTCTGAGGATCGGTTGCACAGCAGTGTGAATATACTTAACACTACTGAACGGTACACTTCAAAATAGGCGAGATGGTGCATTTTATGTCTACTTCACAATTAAAACATAGTTGCACCCACCTCAGGGACTGACACGCACTTGGGGATCGGAAGGAGAACAAAGACGACCGGGGTTCTATAGGAAAGGGAGAAACTTGAAAAGGACCTTAAACTGAAAGGAAAGACTCAAGAGAGAAAGACATCATCATAAGGCAAAGTATTTAAATATGAGGTGAAATGTAATTCACAATTTAAATTTGGCGCTCACTAGATCCTCAGAGTTCTTCATCCCTCAACATACACCAGAGAGAACACACGAAAGGTCTGGCGACTCCAGTTTTTCAGATTTCGGAGACACGTCAATGAAAGTGGGTGCCGGGGTTCCACGTCTTACCTGCCTGGGAGCTTGCTAGCACGGAGATACTGAGTGCTTTATTTGCAGTTTCAGAAATCCTGAATGGAGAAGGAAGGGCAGTTCACTGGTCTCGTTCTGCATTACTCCTATTCACAAAATGAGTTAACCACCTTGCCACTGTAAAATGCAACCGTTATTTCGAAACAGTAATTTTGGCAATTCTCATACATGCCAGGGAATAAAGAATATAGATTCCAACCTCAGGACCTAGATTTGATTATACCTCCTTCTGAGCCTAGAAGGATTCTCTCACAAAAGCTGATTGATCCTGCTATTCTTTTCTCCACGTGGAAGAGGCCAGCTCCCACCCTCTCTGGGCTTGGTGGTGAGATCACAATGCTAAGGTAAGGCATTCACTTTATAATTTTAATGTATAGGCTCTCTTCGGTAGAGAAAACCTAGGCCAGTCGTGTGTCTAGCATACTGTGACAACGTCAGGAGGTAGGTGCTATTTTAAGGTGCCATATATTTCCACTAACAATTTCAAAACATGCTTGATGCAGAGCTGAGAAATATTTGAAAGGTAGCAATTCAAATGCTTCAATATTCTAAATCCTGCATGTATTTAAATCATGCAAATATCTTTCCTCCATTATCATTTATTCCACTTAATTTACCATAGGTTAAAATTGATCAATTTATACTCATACTTACTGCCAAAGTGAAAACAACCTTCCACTAATGTGTCAATTGTTGGCGAGGCGAGATGTCACCAGTGTGTCTGGGGAGTCATGAAGAAGACTGAATTTCCTGACAGCTATGTTGATCTCTGCAAAGTCTACCCCCCTCGCCCACGATTACTATAGAAGAATCTGACATACGGTCCTTGTGCTGCTTAATTACACGTTTCTTTTCCACTCCACTTAACATATTTCACTTATTTGTCATTTCTAATATTTTAGCTAAAATTATGCCATTTTCTTCCTTTCAGTTTGACTGATAGCATGAAACTTGATTGCTAGGTGGAAAAATGACTCAGTCCTCTGCAGAAAGAGTGAAGATCTAATCAACAAAAATTCCTGCAAGAATCTGACATTCTCTTTAGAGGAAGATTGGCTGCCCATAAAAGGAAGCATGTGTGGGGAAACTTCCTCAATTCTCTGCTATTTGATTAACTTGTAAAAGCTAAGATCAACTGACAAATTCCATTATACATTCAAATTATATTTCTAAATTGGCTTAATTTTTAAAAGTGATAAATGAACCTTAAGGGAAAAATTATGTTATATTATGGATAAGCAGAAATAAGTCACACCATTAATGCTATGCATGGGCACAGAAACTTCCCTATTTCTCTTGATTAACAAGATGGATTAGTGAACAAAACAAGTGGTTTATAGGTCAACCTTGATGCTTACTTTCTAGGGAGATAAAGCAGTTTAGTGCAGAAGAGAGAAAACAAGTGATGATGTCTTCGGGAAGGTAATAAAGCTCCCCTGAGACTATTTCTCTACTGGCAATGCAGACCATAAATAGAAAGCTGTCTGTCTACAGACTGTCACTAAAGGTGCAGGATTTGCTAATGCCTGCCTGGTAGGAGCAATTCAGGAAGAAGCCATTGCTGATTGCACAAGACATTTCTAAGTTAGATTTTTCCAGAGTCACATAGTGATAAGTAATATGTTGCTAAACATTTGCCCCCTCTGGAGACTTAATGT